AATGCCAGATGCATAGATGGTATTGCAAACTATTCCTGTATTTGTTCTGATGGTTATACTGGCAGAAATTGTACCATAGAAATTGATGAATGTATGGTACATTCACCATGCAAGAATAATGCCAGATGCATAGATGGTATTGCAAACTATTCCTGTATTTGTTCTGATGGTTATACTGGTAGAAATTGTACCATAGAAATTGATGAATGTATGGTGCATTCACCATGCAAGAATAATGCCAGATGTATTGATGGTATTGCAAACTATTCCTGTATTTGTTCTGATGGTTATACTGGTAGAAATTGTACCATAGAAATTGATGAATGTATGGTGCATTCACCATGCAAGAATAATGCCAGATGTATTGATGGTATTGCAAACTATTCCTGTATTTGTTCTGATGGTTATACTGGTAGAAATTGTACCATAGAAATTGATGAATGTATGGTGCATTCACCATGCAAGAATAATGCCAGATGTATTGATGGTATTGCAAACTATTCCTGTATTTGTTCTGATGGTTATACTGGTAGAAATTGTACCATAGAAATTGATGAATGTATGGTGCATTCACCATGCAAGAATAATGCCAGATGTATTGATGGTATTGCAAACTATTCCTGTATTTGTTCTGATGGTTATACTGGTAGAAATTGTACCATAGAAATTGATGAATGTATGGTGCATTCACCATGCAAGAATAATGCCAGATGTATTGATGGTATTGCAAACTATTCCTGTATTTGTTCTGATGGTTATACTGGTAGAAATTGTACCATAGAAATTGATGAATGTATGGTGCATTCACCATGCAAGAATAATGCCATATGTTTTGATGGTATTGCAAACTATTCCTGTATTTGTTCTGATGGTTATACAGGTAGAAACTGTACCATAGATATTGATGAATGTATGGTATACTCACCATGCAAGAATAATGCCAGATGTATTGATCATATTGCAAATTATTCATGTAAATGTGGTGATGGCTATACTGGTAGAAATTGTAGTGTAGAAATTAATGAATGCATTGATGGTATCTACCCAAACACCCGTTGCCTACACAATGGTATATGTGTCGATGGACTAGCAAATTATATGTGTAACTGCACTGGCACTGGTTATCGTGGTTTACATTGCGAAACAGACATAAATGAATGTATCTTACGAACCCACAAATGCAAAAACGGAACATGTGTTAATACCCAAGGGGCCTACAAATGCGATTGCTTTAAATTTTACAATGGTACCTTTTGTGACAACAATACAGAAATTGCCATGGTCCAGGCCAACAAGCAAGCATCAGAAAGCACTGATTTTTTTCCGAGCAGGTTTTGGTGGGTTATTGTTATTGGTTTATTAGTGGCTTTGGCAAGCACTGTAGTTATATTTTTGTATTTACGTAAAGAGACACGCAAACAGGAAGGGGTTTATCTGCCTGGCGAGGAGGAAGTACGAATGGCAAAAGTGTGGCCAATACTGAACATTGGTTTGATTGACGAAGAAAGTATCATTTGAGAATAAATATAACTACTGACAATCCAACTGTACTGTGGCATAAAGTTTGCATAATTTTAGCATAGTAGAGTGTATAAAGAAAGCATCGGAAATAAATATTAATTTTGTATAGAACATCCTAAATGAACAAAACGCAAAATAGACAGCAAGCAGAAATCATCTTTAAAATTAATGTATAATATATAATATATAGCACATTGAGAGTATGTATGTATTATATTATATTGTATATATAAAATTTTAAAATATTAATTACATTATTTATACAAAAATGTAGTTGACGAGTTGTACTTGCTGTACTTTGATATTAATATATTACTTAGAAAATTTTTAAATACTCACTTTATTAATATTGATGCTCACATGTTCACGTTTTCTATTCTGTTCTGGTTATTTAGGGGTTGCCTTGTTGAATGTTTCTGACTGTATAAAATATTAAATTTAGAAAGTGAATCAGTGTTTTGGATCAATGAGTACTGACCTACTATATATTAAAATTGGCCCATATTTTCCCCGAATATCTTACCGTATTTCTTATTCAAAGGATTCGTCTCAAGTTTTGAGTGTATTGTCAAAAAATGTCGTTAAATTTCAAAATAATTTGAGAACTACAAAAAAGTTGAAAAAACAAAACCTGAACAACAAAACACATTGGCCGTGCGCTAAATGGTAATGATTTTCATGCACATTGGCATGCTGTGTCACCCCCTCCCCCCTGGCTTAAAAGATTTATAATAATTTATACTATAACCTAAAATGGGAAAATCCAAGTTTAAATAGTTTTATAATACATTTAGTATTACTGAATGGAACTAAAATAGTCAAATTTTGTATCTTTTAAAATTTCTCCTTAAATTGCGATTAAATAGCAACAAAGGGGGTGGTGGTCTGTATTTCTGAAGAATGCTCACGGGCGCTTATTTTGAAAAGCACATGTGTCGCATAAATTAGAATTTTTTTGTTGAGTGAAAATCATCATTTATCATCGGCAAATTTTTAAGAAACCACAAAGGATTTATATTCAATATGGGCAAACGAAGAAAAGTATGTATTGGTTTTGGGTGTATTGTATTATGCTTTTGTTCTATATCAGTTGTATCGCTTTTAAAATTCCTATGAAAATTGCTGTTTTGTATGCTTTGTATGAATGTTGACACCATTGGTGTATAAATTTGTTGTATGGTATGACTGTATTTGTATGAAGTTGATCAGTCTTCTGTTTCCCTGAATTCCCTGAAGTGTCATATTTGTAATGAACAATGTATAAATGCATAATTTAAAAATATATAAGCTACAAACTTTAAACTGCCTGAATTTAATATTAAGTATTAAATGAAGTATGCAAGACATGGCCTATCAACAGTGATCTCCATACAAAGTAATTGCAGTTATACC